CTTTAAGCTAAAATGCCGCAGCGGTATGAGCTGCTGCAGGTATGGGCACAGACGTGAAACTGTAGGGCTGTCAAATTATGCCCTATGGACTCTTTCCCTGGGTCATGAGACAAAATAAGAAGCCTTCGCCAATATGCTGGATATGAAGTAAGTCGGCAAGACTGTAGCTCAAATGAAAACATTTCAACTGAGTCATAGTTGGCATCAGGGCTGTGGCAGCCGCTAAGTTTAAGAAACCGCTCACGTGCTTTCTCACGCAGGCCAATGGGCAGTGTATAAGAGAAAAGATTGCGCACTCAAGCCTATTTGATTCTCGTGATAGTCGCTCTAGCCTTCTAATGAAAAGCCTTTCTGTGCTGAAGTGCTCTTCGATCTACAACGCTAACGAAATTATTTACTGCAGCAATACCACAAAATGCATTCGTGAACTGGTGACGTCCTGTGTCTTCCTGCAGCGCGTAACGCACTTTGATGCAGGCAGTGTAGCAGGACCAACGTAAGCAACCCATATTAACAGCAAAGTTTTGCACCTTTGGGTTGTTCATAAGCAAAGTGGAGTGGCAAATTTTTTGCCACCCTGGACCTTAACTCCTCAGCAACTGCTAAAGTCCTGCTGGCAGTTACATACTTTATAGGAGCCATAATGGCGTTTGTATTAACAAGATGAGAACTTTTGGGCGCAAAGCTACCCTTGGATGGCCTACTCGTTGAAATACCACTATTGGTTTCACTCTGGATTGCCGTGCTGCAGGGTCAGAGTCACTGGTAAGCACAAACATCGGACTTCATGCGCACCGAAGAAATGCTCTGCTGTTCATGATGCAAAGTGTCCGCACTGGAATACTTACCTTGATGTCTCTATTTCTTTGGCTTGACAGAAAGGTCGTCGTTACGGTCTACCAGTGGCTGTGCTCGCAACGGTCTACCAGTGGCTGTGCTCGCACAGCGACGCTATTCTGAGTAAATTCAACTCAGTTTTATCATTGTTTAGCTCTGTACCTGATACATTTGCTCTGATGAGTGCCACTGTAGCTGATGCAACGACGGAATAGCAGCAGCGTTTGAATGAAGTCGTTACTGGATTATATGGTTTATATGTAGCATTTGTGGGCCCACTGAACGTATCAATTAGGGACAATGACCCGTAAAATTACGGTTCTTCGCGAATATAACATCCGCAATTTTGATTTTTAGAGACGCCACTAATGTAAGAAGATCACTAATGCTGAGTCACTCATCCGCTCGGTCCAGCGCCCCGATTACCAAACATCGTACCACAGTGGAGTCCATATCTCAACTCTCAAAAATAAAATACAATTTGTTCACCGTTTCGATGATTCGGGGCGAGGTGTCTCATGCGTGTAAGGGGGGATAATCATTGCGTAGCACTCAACATTGCATCAGTACAGCCTCAAAAGCTTGTAACATCCATTAGCAGAAAAAAGAAAACGTAACATGCAAATTACAATCAGTGTAACTCATATTTGATTTTCCAGGTAAGCATTCCAGCCGAAAGTCATAACCACAGTGTTAGCCCTTCCCGTCTCGCGAGTACGCTTAGCAAACTTTATCAGTTGCCTCCAGGTAGCAACTCCACCCCGAGTCGCTTGAGTGAAGATGATCTGGCCCTTGCGCTCATAACTGAAATCCTTTCATGACACCGTTAGTCATCATAGTAGCAAGTAAATACCAAAATTCATAGTATGGCAACGATGGCAGCAGGAGGAGCACTCTTGTGCACAAAAACCTGCCTAAACAGCGCCTTCATTTAATGTGGAACCTTTCAACTGCAAAGTTCCCAGCAGCGTTTGGACAATATCTGAATTACTGCGGTGGCGCTGGAGCCAGTAGTTCTGTAACGCTGTTCAAGTGTACAAAACACGCCAAAAAGGCTGCGGAGAAGAAGTGGGCCATTAGCTTAGGAACCTATAGCATTTCGCTGCGTGGGATACTTCAGAAAGCCAAAAATATGCTATCTATAGTACATCTCAATTCGGACTTCAGGAAGTGACCCGCGGGCTTCTTCCCACTTCCCAAGAAGGCTGCCTTTACAAAGTGGCAGCTGAGAATGCGACGCAGTCCCAGCTCTCGGTCCCTCAGATCTGCACTACTTGGCAGTGTCACCAGCTACAGACATGCACAACTCTGCCTAGGATAGGATTCTATCCACAACTACGGCAGGTCAATTTTTTGCTTTTCTCTCTCTGCAGGAAGTGCCCACTTACAAGAGAGCGTGAGTGTAGTGGACAGGCACTATAATAGGGCTTCCTGGCGGCCTATAGAAGATAGCTAGCTAGCGACCTACAAGACGTCGCATCACTGCAGGAGGACAGGACCCTCTTACTAGGATCAAAGTACGGCAATTTGTCTGCGAATTAACATGCATAGACTAGTGGGGCCCTACGTGGAGACTGGGGCTCGCGATAGCGCCGGCACCAGTGCAGGCCTCCTCCCCACAGGGCCTAGGGGGCAAGAACCCCGAGTGGGGGGGATTTTCAAGATAACAAATTTTGGAAAAATAAAGATAACTGTATGTCGTTATACTTGGGCTACTGTTTCAAGGAAATGGGCCATCGTCAGGTGCCCAAATCAGCTGCACATTTTCCTGCACAAAGCAAGGCAGTAAAAGTTCCTTTCTCACGAGGCTTGCTTGTCCACTACTAAACAGCAAAGCCTAACCATTTTGCGTCCCTCCACTGTCCCTTTCGTGGCTCCATTGTTGGTTTACCCTTACACACTTTTCTGCATGTTGAAGGGTAGCAAGAAGGGTCGAATCTGTCCTTCACCTTAATGCCAATTTGAGTCTTTTCCAGCAGCTAAAGCAGGCTGGAGAGTGCGCTGCACTTGCCTCTGTGCTTAAGACCAAATGCTAAACCTCAATCTCAACCACAAATGCAAAACCTCAATCTCAATCACCAAATGCTCGCGAAGCCTCTCGCCGCTCTGGCCTGCAACTCTGCAAGGTCTCAGCCTGGCAGCCAGAGCTGCTGCGTTTAGACTACACAGTGCAGCCCAGGCGGCTCGACTTAGTCAAAATTCAGTAAAGGCCTCAGTCAATATTCAGTAAAGGCCTCTTGCGCAGAGAGCTCAGCTGGCTTAGCTGCACTGAGTCACGCTAAGCTGCAAACACTTTGTGTGTGTGGCTAAATTTATGGAGCCACCATAACCACCCCACCCCCTTCTAGTTTGTCTCAGTGAGCCAAAGTGATATGTGGTCTTTACCGCAAACGCTACTGTTGCGAAGTGCCGCATTTGCTGCCGCAGATGCTGTTGCTGCTGCTGCTGTCCGTGCTTTCTTTACATTTCGCAGTTGTTTGCTTTCCAGATCACGTTGTTGCTTTGCAACTCTAAGGATATTGCTGTTGCAGCTGCTGCTGAAGCAGCTTCTGCTGCAGCCGCAGCAGCAGCAGCAGCAGCATTCCTCAACGACCGCCTGCACTCCCAAGGCCCCCACAACGCCCCACTGACACTGCCTAAAGGGACTTTAGCCCTTCAGAAAGAAATTTAAAGAGTTAAGAAATTGCCTGTTAGCTGCCCTGGGCACTGGGGCCAGCAATAGGGGGGTTGCTGTTAAGGCCTCCCGGCTGTCCTTAGCGCTTCCGCAGCTGCTGTGCTGCTGCTAGGCAGTCCTAGGCAACTGCGCAGCACTGTAGCAGCAGCAGCAGCAGCAGCAGGTGCACTAGCAGTTGCAGGAGCAGCAGCAGCAGCCTGCCTACGCTGCGTAGGCAGGTCGGTCTTTTGTGCCGGGGACGTGTGGGAGTTGCTGCTGGGTTGTTTGGCGTAAGGGGAAAGAGCAGCGTGTGGTTTGAATAATTTGTTTTGTAATTTTTGTTATTTTAAACATTAAAATTTTGGAAAAGTGGCATTTAAGAGGCTGCGTTGGAGGTTGTGGCGGTTGGCGTACTGTGCGCGGCGTCGGGCTGGGGCTCTGGAGCTCTCAAGCCACGGAGTCGCCTCTATAGCGGCTGTTTGCATGCAGAAAGGGGAAAAGAAGGGGTAAAAGGAAGTAACAGGCGAAAAGGAAGAAAACAAGGAGAAGAGGGAGCGTTTAATTGTCTTAATTTCTTCGAGAGTGGGCGAAATAGTCTAGGAAGCCTGGGTCGGTGATGCGTGACGTTAGCTGCAGCAGGATGTCTAAGGGCCATATTGGCAGCATTCCTGCATATATTTTGGGGCATTTGTATGTTTTTAACGGGACGCAGAGGTTGGTTGATTTGTTTTGGACTTGTTAACTCTGTGCGCACCAGGGCCACGAGCTGCACGGTGTCTGTACACCTGCGGGTTGTTGCTCCTCCGCGGCGTTCTGGGGTCCTTTCGGAGATCGTTTTTTTAGAATCTCGTCGCAATGCAACAGCTGCATACTTCGGCGACGACAGTAACTCCATCGCGCGCCGTCCCGGCAGCAGCTCGTCCCGTTCCCGTGGCAGCGTCCGCAGCTTCCGCAGCCTCCGCAGCCTCCGCAGCCTCCGCAGCAACAGCAGCAGCAGCTCGTTATTCGGCGTACGGGTCTATCGGTTCTGTCTCGTGCCTGCCGCCGGAGGTTTCCGGGGTTTATTCTTCGTCTTCTGGCGCTTCTTCCGGTTGCTCTGCTTCCGCCTCTTCTTCCGCCGCCGCTGCTGCTGCGGCGGCTTCTTCTTTGCCGGCTGCCCCGGGGCGCCCCGCTGCCCCGGGGGCGCGGGGCGTTGCGTGCCCGGCGCCGCGCTGCGCCTCGCCCCCCGGCGCCGCCGTTGCAAAGCGAAACGCTGGCTCCCCCGCGCCCACAGCCCCGCCCGCCCCCCCCCCCCCCCCGGGGGCCCCGCCCCCCCCCCCCCCCCGCCGCGCGCA